ATTTTTGTACTAAATAGCGCTTTAGTTGAAAAAAGTGTGTGCTTCGCTACATGCTTCTCGCTTTGGTGAAGCGAGCCCTTGTCGCCTTTTTTGGCTTCTCGCTCTCCAAAACACTGCTTTTCCAGCATTGTCATTTCCTAAGAAATAACTATTGGCCTGGGTGACAAATTCTGGCGGTCCATGGCTCGGGCTGGGTCGACTTTTCAAAATTTAATAGTATGTGGTACTATATGCATGATCTCTTCTGTTTCTGTTCAAAATGTATAGCCTGCTAATGATTAAAAAATCAATATCTCTGTTTAATATAATTTTAGATGTGGGAAAAATATTGTATATTAATCTATCAAATATCAAATAGCACTAAATCAAAACGTATGTTTAAAGAGGTTATTCATGTGGAGTTTTGACCGTGAATACATGTTCTTTCCCTATGTATCATCTACTTTGACAATCCAGTGACTGCCTCTCTCTATCATTCTTCCATGTTAGTACCAGAGAATTCATCTAACAAATTTAACCCATGTTATTTCCCAATCATTAAGTAGCCTCCAAAAAGTGATATTCCACCCTTGTGATGAGCATATTTCTTGTCTGCCACACTTAGGGTTAACACATCCTTTTTTTTCTTCATGTATTTTTTCTTTCATTGAAAATGGATGAACTCTTTGAAATTGGCAATATATATTATTGGAAAGACTATTCTGAAATTATGTCTATATGATTTCAAGTTGCTTGTTGATTTTTTATAGGCTCTTTGTGGCATTTCATATTTTCTTTTCTCTTAAGTGTATCTCATGTTCACATATTTCTTTCTTGGTTGTCGTAGGTTGTGATTCCAAATCTGTTGGTGGTGGTGCTTGTTATTGTTGTTTAATGTGTCTCCAAAACCATTCTTTTAATGGCTCTGTTGATTTCTTTTGCAAGGTACATTTTTTTTCTTTTTCTTAACATTTCTTCTTTACTGATGTGTTTTTGAAGATATTCCAAGTTTTGTCTCAATTTTTGTGGCCATTTGTTTTGCTAAGTTTTTTAATCTAGTTTTATTGGCCAATTTTTAAGAGGTATTGTTGGTTGCGATCTTTTACTGTGTTTCATCAATTTTTGAATAATAGTATGATCATCATAAAATGTTGAACTATCACACACTATCAAAACATTGATGTGTTCAATAGGTAATAAAAAAGTGCACAAGTGTAACAAAATTTAAATGCTACAAACAAAAAAATATAAAATATTTCACTTTTTTTCTTAATTCTTTACATACTCTTCTAGTAATATAATCATATTAGATTGTAGGACTTCTCTAACCTTTGTTTATAGTTTTATAAATTTGTTGTGAACCTGCTTTGTATATTCAGTTCATAACCATAAACGTAGAAACTATTTGGTCTTTTACTGTTGATGTTTAGAATATACCTGAAAAAAAAATTATTTTGAAATATTTGGTCTTTTACTATTAAATGTTGGATTTTCTTGAATTGCTAGAGTCTTTTGTCATGTAATTTGGACTATTCCAATTTTTGTAACCTTTTTATCACCATCTTGTGAAATATTTATGTGTGTATCTTGTTTAAGTGTACATTAAGTGTTTGTTTCTTGATTTTTTGTTGTAATACATATATAACTATATACATCTATTGTGTATGAATCTATAACTCTAAAAGTAAATATATAATTAGTACTACTTTGTTGTTACACTAATGTATTATTATATCTAATTTACATGCATGAAGATAATGGCGCCTAATAAACAATGGATGGAACTCATTAAAGATAGACTTGTTGTTGCTTATATAGATGGGGTGGAGACTTTCTTGGATTATTCTTTTACAAAATTAGGAGAACCGCAGTTGATACGTTGTCCATGTATTAAATGTGGTAATGCAACTTCTAGAACACGTGTTGTAGTTAGGCCACATTTAATAGTACATGGGATAATACCAAGTTATACTCTTTGGTATCACCATGGGAAGATGTCAGGTGAAGAACAATCAAATTTTGAAAATATAGATGATAATGACATTGAAGAGGATGATGCTAAGGATGAAATAGATGGTTTGCTGAGAGATTTGTACCCTGATTTTAATGGAGATAATATGAATAATAGTGGTGATCATTTGTTGGAGGAGGAACCAAATGATGAAGCAAAAAGATTTTATAGGCTATTGAAAGATCTTGATCTACCATTATATATATGAAAGTGCAAAAGTTTCTAAGCTTTCTACTTTAGTTAAATTGCTTCACCTTAAAAGTATTGGTCATTGGAGTAATGAGTCATTTATGATGTTGTTGAAGTTTTTGAAAGATGATTTATTGTTGGATGGAACAAACTTGCCGGATTCATATTATGAGGCAAAGAAGGTAATTTGAGATCATGGGCTTTCTTATAAGAAGATTGATGCATGCAGGAATGATTGTATGTTATATTGGAAGGATGATAATTGTCTTCAATCTTGCAAAGTTTGTGGTGTATCTAGATGGAAGGATGGTAAACATAGTGGGGAAACAAAATTGAAAAAAGGAAAAAATATACCATGTAAGATTTTACGTTATTTTCCTCTAAATCCAAGGCTTCATAAGATTATTTATGTGCTCAAAGACATCTCCTTTGATGTCCTGGCATCATGACAAAAGAGTTGATGATGGAATAATGAGGCATCCAGCTGATTCAATGGCATGGAAAAAATTTGATGAGCTTCACCCATCTTTTGTTGTTGAGTCTTGTAATGTATGACTTGGACTTGCTAGTGATGGTTTCCAACCATTTGGAATGTAGAAAACTTCGTACAACATTTGGCCCATGGTACTTATTCCCTATAATTTGCCACATTGGCTTTGCATGAAGCAAAAGAACTTTATTTTGTCAATGCTTATACCTAGCCCAGAGAGTCCTGGTGATGCAATTGATGTCTATCTGCAACCTTTGATGGAGGAGTTGAATGAATTACGGGAGAGTGGAGTCGAGACATATGCATCAAATAGAAAGAATTTTACGTTACATGCATCTTTGTTGTGGACCATTAATGACTTTCTAGCATATGAAAATTTGTCTGGATGGAGTACAAAAGGAAAATTGGCTTGCCCATGTTGCAATGAAAAACACACTATACAAGGCTAATATATGGCCAAAAACAGTGTTATATGGGCCATAGACGCTATCTTCCTCTTAATCATAAATGGAGAAATGATAAAGCGTCATTTGATAACACTATTGAGCACTGGCAACTACTTGAAATGTTGTCCGGTGATGATATACTTGATCAGGTTGCTGATTTAGATGGGTTGCCATTAACAAAGGATCCACAGAAGAAGATTAAAATATCACACAAGAAAAAGGGTGATGAATGGAATAAGAAGAGTATATTCTTTGATCTTCCATATTGGAAAACCTTATTGTTGCGACATAATTTTGATGTGATACACATTGAAAAGAATATATGTGACAATATTTTGGGGACAATCTTAGATGTCAAAAGGAAAACAAAAGACACCTTGAGTACTCAGTTGGATTTACAACAAACGAAAATACAAAAAGTAAGTTGCCAGTAGCATCTTACACATTATCTGATGAAGATAAGGAATAGTTTTTCAAATTTTTGAAGAATTTAAAGGTCCCAGATGGATTTTCCTCAAATATTTCTCAATGTCTCAAGCTTAAGGATAAAAAAATTGCAGGATTAAAAAGTCATGATTGTCATATAATTCTACAACATTTACTCCCTCTTGCCATGCATGGTATGCTTTGCAAATCTGTGTCTGAACCACTTATTGAGTTGTCTATTTTTTTCAAAGTGGTTGGAGCAAAATGTTTGAGCGTAGAGGAGTTGGAACAAATAGAAGATCAAATACCAAAAACATTGTGCAAGTTAAAAAAGTTGTTCCCTCCTGCATTTTTTAATGTCATGGTGCACTTGTCTATTGATCTACCTGATGAAGCTAAGATTGTTGGACCAATTCAATATTGGTGGATGTATCCAATAGAGAGATACCAACACTTTTTGAAGTGTTTTATTGGTAATATGGCTCACCTTGAAGGTTCGATTGCAGAGGGATATTTAGCAGTTGAATGTATGACTTTATGTTCAAGGTATTTGAATACAATAAAGATAAAGTTTAATTATCCGAAGAGAAATTATGATGGTGGTGTAATAGAATGTGAGGGTGGTTTGACAATATTTTGTGAACCTGGAAAAACTTTAAAGGGTAGCACACCAGACAAACTTGATTCAAACGATATGGAGGACACACATTTTTTAATTTTGAAGAATTGTGATAAAATTTAACCATTTCTCGAGTAAGTATTGATTTAATCTAATAATTTATTTATACATTGTCTATATGCTTAATTTATAATAACATGTAAAACTTCAATTCTTTGTTAGAGAATTTTCATAAATTTATAGTGAGACCTCTCAACAAAGTTTAGATGTGGAGTGGAATAGAAAATTCATTAGTTGGTTACAAAAAAAGGTTAGTAGAAATTAATCAGTTTTCTTAAATCAATATGCAATTAAATATTGTTTTCTAAAAAACTATTTGATGTTGGTAGGTTGCAGGATTATACAAACATGATGATAGTAAGAGAATGGAAGATTTGCTATAAGGCCATATTGTTATTGGATATAGGTTTCATGTGAAAGAGTATGATCAATATTAGAAAACTCGAAATTGTGGAGTGGTTGTAGTAGGTGAGACCGGTGAAGAATAAAAACATATGAATTACTATGGCAAGTTAACCGAGGTTCTTGAATTACAATTTGTTGGGGGAAGAAGAGTGATTTTATTCAGATGTATTTGGTTTGATGTGTATGATCAAAAGAGGGGAGTTAAAATGGATGAATATGGCTTTGTAAGTGTTAACCGTCGGTGATATTTGAAAATAAATGAGCCATTTGTATTAGCTAGTCAAGCATCACAAGTATTTTAAGCTATTGATCATTCCAATAAAGGTTGGAAAATAGTGCAAAAGGTTAAACCTCGTGATTCTTTTGATAATTCGGAAAAAATGATGATGACTTAGAAGAGTTAGATAGCCCTACACAAGTGAAAAGAAAAAGAACTCATTAAGGTTTGGAGCTTTGTCATGCTTTCTTTTACTTTATTAATTTTTTTATGGTAATGATTCGCTATAGTATTTCTATGAAAATTTGTTTGATGCACTTGGTCTTTAATGTTACCTTGATCTTACTATAGTAGTAATGGTTCATGCAAGGAACCTGTGTTACATGTACATGTGTCTCCTTTCTAAATACGTTTTCAATTCACATTTCTTCTTATGAAAAACTTCCTAACCTATTTGAACTTTTGTTTAGAAGACTTTGCTCTTATTTTTTATTTTTTTGTATTATCTAGGTTGACATGAATCCCTCAAAAACTCTGAAGTATGAAATGGGGCAAGCTTCAAAAATCCCCAAGCATGAACTCATTCAGCCAGGTGCCTTAGCAAAGGTACTAGGTCAAAGTTTGAAAACTATGAGCACTATCAGAGTTATTGTTGCACAAAGGACTCTGATTGCCAAAAATAGAAGTTACTATGCAATAACTTCAAAGTTGAATAAGCTAGCAAATAATAGTTTCCATGTGCATCCTTGTTTAGAGGAAAAGGAAGACAATGCTCCCCTCCATCAAGAAGCTGAAGTGAATCAACACATTTTGACCAGTGATGCAAGGGTCATGGACAAAGCTTAAGGATTAATGCTGAAAAAAGGACTATGATTGGCGAAAATAGAAATACTACAACAACTTCTACTCAAAACAAGCCAGGAAAGAAAAGTATCCCTCTGTCTCCTAATTTTAATCCAATGGAAGACAATGACACCCTCTTTCTAGAAGTGGAAGTGACTCGAGATACTCAAAGATGTGATCATTTGCTAAAGAGTTAGTCTGGTTAATCTGTTTGATCAAGAAATTCTGCTTAGCTTTCTATACTTAATCTCCTTTGTATTCGTTTTGTTACTAATGGGAATAAACTTCTTATTTTGGTTGACTTTCATCAAAATGTGCAGGTCCATTTGAATATGATAAGTCCAAAAAAGTGATTGAAGTGCCTCGAGTTGCCCAAAGAAGTGATACTACTATTTTATTTTTTTTGTGCAGCTTCTTTTTGTTAGTTGAATTGAAGTATTTTTTTTTTTTTACTTGCACTTAAATTTGCAGGTCCGTTTGAATATAGAAAAGCAAAAAAACTAGTTGGAGTGGCTCAAGGTTCTAAGGGAAATCAAACTAGTAAGTATTTTCTTGTTGTTACCTGTAAAGCAGCAAAAATATTATCTATGAATCGCTTCCCTAGGAAGATATGTTAGCATATAACTAGCATTTTTAGGAACAAGGACCTTCAAGATAAGTGCAATATTAGTAGTTATTTGTCTTAGTAACTCTCCATTTTGAAAGAATTGCAATCCTGCTTCAGCAACATCTTTCTTAGATGTTGTCCATTCCCCTTTCTGTATCACATTTTGTTTTTTTGGCAACTTAAGGCCTGATCTCTTGCAATAGGCACTAATATTAAGCTTTGATATCTCTATTAAAGTGAAGATTAATTTTATTTTAGTCAAACTAAGATGATGTGAGTGGAAAGTTATCTGCCAATCTTATATTAAACAATAATGTTGTTATCTCTCATGGTGAAAGAAGAAGTAACTTTTAGAACCTTGAAAATAAATAAGTATTATTTGGGGAGCCTGATTTATATTTCTCAAGTACAAAGTAAAATGTTTACACATGACAATGCATTTAAATTATAGTCCACTTATACTCATTCTATCCTCGTGGAGTGGATGCAGTTGTGCTGTGGAATCTGGATAAAAGAAATATAGTTGTGGGGATTCTCACATTTGTTCTTCCTGATTTTTCTAGTTGTCCCTAGGTTTAGAACTGTGGATTGGTACCTCTCAAAGGAGAAGGAAATTTAGTGTTCCGATAGCATGGTATTTTGGATTTTATGTATTACAATCATATAGAGACCAGACCATTGTATACATTAATAATTTCAGAACTTGACACCTAAAACAAAACTACTGGATCATTCTCCGTATTCTTTTGATTATTTAGTCCTAATGATCAATTTATATCAAAGAGCATAGTTGACTTATTTTAAACTTTGCAAGTCCAGTTGGATATAATAAGGGAGAAAAAATGAATGAAGTGTATCGAGATGTTCAGAGAAGTATTACTAGTATATATTACTTACTTTTGTGTAATTATTTGTTGTTGTTAGTTGGCTTGAAGTTGTATTTTGTTTTAATATTATAATTTGCAGGTCAATTAAAGTCTAAAAAGGCAAAAAAAGTAATTGAAGTGGCTAAAGATGCTACGAGAAATGAAACTAGTATGTATTTTCTTGATGTTACCGGTAAAATAGCCGAAAAGGTATCTTTCCTGTGTATTTGACATCTGATGCATCATTATGATTTTTTCACTAGTCCTAACCATATTAACCTCCGCCTATTCTTGATTCATCAATTGTGATTTTCTGAATGAAAGTTTTTAAAAATTGAAAGTCTGATTTGGGATCTTAAGTTTTCCAATATTTATTCCACTGCTAGTTGCTCCTTTCTGTATCACATCTTTTTTGGCAACTTGAGGACTTATCTTTTGTCTAGTTGTTACTTGGTTTGGAACTGTGTTGTGGAATCACATGGATAAAAGAAATATAGTTGTGGGGATTCTCACATTTGTTCTGCCTGTTTTGTCTAGTTGTCCCTTGGTTAGGAACTGTGGATTGGTACATCTCAAGGGCGAAGGAAATTTACTTACCCGATAGCATGGTATTTTGGATATTCTATCTTACAATCTTATACAGACCAGACCATTGTATACATTAATAATTTCAGAACTTGACACCTAAAACATAACTACTGGATCATTCTCCGTATTCTTTTGATCATTTAATGTTAATGATCAATTTATATCAAACAACATAGTTGACTTAGTTTAAACTTTGCAGGTCTAGTTGGATATGATAAGGGAGAAAAAATGACTGAAGTGTATCGAGATGTTCAGAGAAGTAATACTAGTATATATTACTTACTTTTGTGTAATTATTTGTTGTTGTTAGTTGGCTTGAAGTTTTATTTTGTTTTAATATTATAATTTGCAGGTCAATTGAAGTCTAAACAGGCAAAAAAAGTGATTGAAGTGGCTAAAGATGCTACGAGAAATGAAACTAGTATGTATTTTCTTGATGTTACTGGTAAAATAGCCGAAAAGGTATCTTTCCTGTGTATTTGACATCTGATGCTTCATTATGATTTTTTCACGAGTCCTAACCATATTAACCTCCACCTATTCTTGATTCATCAATTGTGATTTTTTGAATGAAAGTTTTTAAAAATTGAAAGTCTGATCTGGGATCTTAAGTTTTCCAATATTTATTTCACTGCTAGTTGCTCCTTTCTGTATCACATCTTTTTTGGCAACTTGAGGACTTATCTTTTGTCTAGTTGTTACTTGGTTTGGAACTGTGTTGTGGAATCACATGGATAAAAGAAATATAGTTGTGGGGATTCTCACATTTATTCTGCCTATTTTGTCTAGTTGTCCCTTGGTTAGGAACTGTGGATTGGTACATCTCAAAGGCGAAGGAAATTTACTTACCCGATAGCATGGTATTTTGGATATTCTATCTTACAATCTTATACAGACCAGACCATTGTATACATTAATAATTTCAGAACTTGACACCTAAAACATAACTACTGGATCATTCTCCGTATTCTTTTGATCAGTTAGTGTTAATGATCAATTTATATCAAACATCATAGTTGACTTACTTTAAACTTTGCAGGTCCAGTTGGATATGATAAGGCAGAAAAAATGACTGAAGTGTATCGAGATGTTCAGAGAAGTGATACTAGTATATATTACTTTCTTTTGTGTAATTCTTTGTCGTTGTTAGTTGGCTTGATGTTTTATTTTGTTTTAATATTATAACTAGTAAATGGGCCCGTGCTTCACGTGGTTAGATTATTTTTCTTTAAAATTTATTAGAATAGAACTTTTCTTGTATTTTGATGTTATAGCATTTTTATATAAATCTATTTTCAAGAGTATAGAGGTTATTCAATTGTTGTTGACCATTTGTTTTATTAAAAGAAAAGGCAAAATTACAAATCATAACACTATTTTCTCCTAGTTTACATAATTTATTTTATAGATTCATTAATTTGAAATTTTACAATGGTTAGTTTAGTTTTATCATCTTTATGCATGGATACATAGTGTCTTTAATTAGAGAGTCAAATAAATATTTTTCTCAATTTTTTTTCTTTGCAAATTTCGTTAGTATAACACTATCAATTACTTTCAAATTAAATATTTATATATATATAACTAATGTGTTTATCAAGAGCAAAGGTTCCATAATCATATGATATATTAATAAGTAATATGTAGTCATTATGTGTTTTAAAATTAAAATGCAATCTTCCAAAATCCAAATTTCATATGTAATATAGTTATGATGGTGTTTGGGAATTGAAGTTGTTCACGAACAAAATATTAAGGATCCTTGAAAAGGGTGAAAGAGAAGTAAGAGATAATGGGAAAAAAGTTCAAAAGAGTACTTTGGTGAGAGAGAATAGGCATTATTATGTATCATATAATTGCAATTAATTGCTAGTTTTAGTTCTATCATTTGAATTTCTAATTATTTTTTTACCCTTGTTAATATTTACATTATTATGACAACAACAAAAAATCATATAAATTTCTAGGCTTGATCTGTTGGAGAAGCATAGATATCTTTGGAGAATGTTGTAAAGAAATGTATTCTGTAAAAAGTTATTTGTGAATCTGCAGTAGTTGGGTTTACATAGAGTCTGTACTAACAAATACTTATAACAATAACTTTACAGAAACATAAACAACAAAGTTTAAAACATGTACTCAAAAACAACAATTAAGATCATAAGCATAAATTAATGACTGTAAAAAAAACATATCAGGATCTATAACAATAGAATGAAACAGAAAGGAAAAATCGAGCTCATTGAATGCACAATGTTTCCTTAAGGAAATCATTCCCCTCTAGTACCCGAGGTTTAAAGAAAAATAGATCCTCTCAGGATGAAACGATTTTATTCACCAGTGTAATGATACAAAAACAATAGTGTCAGTGAGCCACTCAACATGAGCAAAGTACACAATATTTAATTGTGCAGAAGAAGAAAAAGAAGACGTTCATAATCAATATTTAATTGTGTAGAAGAATAAGAAGATGTTCAAAATTTTCGTTGTTTTAAAATGAGAGGGAACTCCTCTATTTATAGACAACAAAGGGTAGTGTGAACAAATGTTTATTGTGCCTTACCGGAAAGGTCACAACTCTTTGGAGAAGTCACAACACTATGGAAAGATCACAACCTTTCATAAAAGTCGCAACTCTTCATAAAAGTCAAAACTTTTCATAAAAGTCACAACTCTTCATAAAAGTCACAACTTTTAATAAAAGTCGCAACTCTTCATAAAAGTCAACTTTTCATAAAAGTCACAACTTTTAATAAAAGTCAACCTTTCATAAAAGTCGCAACTCTTCATAAAAGTCACAACTTTTAATAAAAGTCACAACTTTTAATAACAACCCCAATTTTTCATGAAAGGGAAGGCTAATTTTGGAAATAAATAAATTAAAAAGGAATCACTGTTTGTGGTGGCGCCACGTAGGTGGCCTAGGGTTCTCTTTATATATATATAGATAGATAGATAGGATATATGATATGATTTGCAGGTCTATTAAAGTCTAAAAAGGCAAAAAAAAAAGTGATTGAAGTGGCTGAAGATGCTACGAGAAATGAAACTAGTATGTATTTTCTTCCGTGTGATATTTTCTTTTCTTGATGTTACTGGTAAAATAGCCAAAAAGTTATTTTTCCTATGTATTTGACATCTGATGCTTCATTATGATTTTTTTCACTTGTCCTTACCATATTAACCTCCACCGATTGTTAATTTATCAATTGTAATTTTCTGAATGAAAGTTTCTAAAAATTGAAAGTTCCGTATTTAGGATATTAAGCTTTCAAATATTTATTATACTGTTAGTTGCCCCTTTCTGTATTTTTATTTTGGGAACTTGAGGCCTTATTTCTTGCAATGGGCAATGTTTTACCTGTTTTGTCTTGTTATCACTTGGTTTGGAACTATGGATGGGTACTTGTCAAAAACCAGATAAAATGTTATTTTGCATATTTGGTCTTATAGATCTAAAAAGACTAGACCATTGTATACGGTAATAATTTCAAAAGTTGACACCTAAAACTTATCTACTGGAGTATTCTCCAGATTCTTTTGATGGTTTAGCATTAAAGATCAAATTTATATCAAATAACATAGTTGATTTACTTTAAATTTTGCAGGTCCATGTTAATATGATAGGACAACAAAGGTGAGGGGAACAAACATTTTTAAAAAGTTTTGCGATTAAGACCTGGAGAAAAGTTAAAAGTCACTTTCTATCAAAATCGAGTCGTTGGGCCGAATCACACCTCATTTACAAGACACTTGGGTTTGCTAGTTCGTGATCGCAATATATGCCCATTGCGGGTACACTCATGGATGGATATTGAAGAGCATAAGCTTGAGCATATGTGGGCAGCTGTTACAATAAGAATTACAACATTACTCTCTTTTATTTTCGCTGACTTGATACCGCTGCTACTGTAACAACAATATTTTTCCTTCTTCTTCTTGCGTTTGTTTAGAGCATACTATGGTGTTGCCTTTGTTTAGACCTTATTATGGTCTTTGTTTAACAATAGCTATTACCACAACAAATAAAAAATTCCTCTCCTCAGTGTTACTATTCACTCTCTATTTAGTTTCTTAATCCACTCACACTCGGTGATGAGGAATTTCTACTACCCCTGTTAAACATAGACAACAATTTGCATCTTGCACCTGCATGTTCAGTCTCATCATTCGAGTCTTCTTAAGTTCCTTGTTCTAGTTTGCCAACCAGAGGATAAATTTAATTATGCTTTGGTTGCACAACTTTTGTCCAAGTAAGATATGCTTCCCAAAGAGTGGTCTGGACCCCTATAACTCCTGGTGGCTGATTACGTATGTTTCACTCTTTGTCAACTTGTACTTTCTCTTTTGGTACTAGTCAACCATTCCTGTTTTTAGAGACGTTAACTTTCTCCAATACCAACAACAATCTGTAGGTGGTATGTGATCACATATATTGCCATATTACTTCATATACACTGCATGTGTCCATATTACCCAGAGGATGTCTAGATATTCTGAAACCTTCCATATAGTAGTTTGCCAACAGAAGCTTCATTCCATTTCATACATCCCTTAACTTTTAGTCCTAAAAAATTATATATGGGAGGCACACCTTAACCCAAGAAATCAAAGGTGTCTTTTTCTAATATGCAGTACCTCCCCATACAAAGTTCTTACATAGTTGACATGTAAGATCACCCCTTCAATCCATTAATCAAGAACATTAATTTTCAATCAAAGGTATCTTTCCCTGATTCTGATGACATTTTTCTCTATTTTAGGAAACGTTTGACTGTGATAACATGAATGATCAAAGAGATAATGTTTTGCAACGTATGAGAAAGCTTTGGAGCAATTGGAGAGGATCATTGCACAAGAATATGAAATCCAAGTCATTGCACGAGGTTCTAAAATATGTGTCGATAGGAGTAGACAAGAGTGATTGGGAATGGTTGGTCAAGGAACATTTTTTATCTGAAAAGTTTAAGGTATGATTGCATACCTATTGATTAATATCATTTTATTTCCAAGTCACATATGATTACTGTTTTGGCATAGTTCTTTTGATTAAATGATTTCATTTGTGATCAAGAGGAAGCAAAGTAGTTACAAAAGTTAATCTAAGAATAAAATTGAATAGTTAAACAAGCTTGTGATAATTTCAGCTTGTGTTGTTAATGTAGGAATCAAGTACAAGAAACACAATCAACAGGTCTAAGTTGTGTATGCCTCATCGTATGGGTAACAAGCCTATAATAGAGATTATTTACAGACTGATAAATAAATCATGAAACCCTACAAGAAAACCTCCTTTTTGTATAAAAGATCTTATAGTAATTACTTTTTTTATTGTTAAGGGAGGCAAATATGGTAATCCACCAAACATGGCAACTATCTTCTTTGAGACTCGTAAAAGGGAAATGAGCTTGTCTAACCCGAAACCAATGAAAAATATGTATCTTTATCGATAAATTTCATTTAACATTTTCTCTCTGGATTGATTCATTGAAAAACATTCTTGTATTTTATAGGCTGAAATTCAAGAGCTTGTACAATCTGAACCGTCTCTTACGAATATTGAGGTAGTGAAACGATGCTTTGGACCTCAATGCAAAACTCATGCAGTTGGATTTGGTGGTGGGATAACCACTTAGGAGTTGAAAGGTGGTAGTACTTCTAAGGCTTCGTTGTTCGAAGAACCGAAAACAACTTGAAAAGAAAAGGAATCACTACAAAAGCGTATTGATATACTAGAGAGTAAATATGATCGCCTTGAAAGTATAGTGGTTCGTTAGCATCCATCACCTCCACCAGGTTTGCAAACTTTTCATTAGCTATTCCATGATGTGTATTTTTCAATGAATTTAGTGATGTCATTAACAAATGCTCATCTTTGATAAGGGCTTTGCTAATGCAGTGGTTTGTCTTTCTAGGATAAGTTGATTTTAGAGGGTAGAGAGTCTTTAGTTGTACTACTTTCCATGATGAACGAGACTACATGCTTATAGAATTATGCATATCTCTATTTTAATCAGGATGTATTCCTTTGCTAAGAACTGAATTCTGTTCCTGCATGTTCACCTTAGTATTTGTGTTGCGTGTTAAATCCTAACTATGTTATAGTTTTAGAATAATGATCTCTAAACTCGTTGAACTTTTTGAATTGTGTAAATGCGAAAGATGTTTGTCTCATTTTAGTCTATCTCCATAATAAGTTTCACAGACACATGTATAGAACAACTTGTATTTATAGAAAAAGTGGTCTAAGGTAGATAATACTACTTTCATCGATATATTTCTTATACTGTTGGATGTTTATTTTTTGGTAATCAGAATATTTTTTTGGTTAGCAGGTATTTTTCATTCATAACCAAATTATTTAGTACAAACAAAGCACTGATGGCTTAATTGCTATATATCATTCTAGCGTATCTATATTACTACTCATTATGAAATAAAAAGCATGAATAATTTTATGTTTATTACACTGTCAGAATTCCTAGGGATACAAATTTAGATTTTGAAGTACAGGCAACTAGTTTGCCTTTTGCTAGCCGCGGATATGAATATGCATCACGACCTCCCTCAAGACCATGTCTGGGCACATTCTTTCCTTTTGGAATCTGATTTTGTTCCTTCTCTCTATATAACATAGACTAGCATGACAAACACACTAGTAGAAATTTCGGCTCGTCCTACACTCTTTTTGCAATATCACTCTCTGGTAAAAAATAACCTTGTGACATCCCAACCAGCTACACAGTCTACCCCATAAAAGTCTGATCAAAAGTTTCCCCTGTTTTACAACAAAACACACAGTCGTGTGGCACTTGTATACCAATTTTTTCAAGCATGTCTACTTTTGGTAGTCTTCTTTGGACAGCCAACCACATAATAAACTTGAACCTAGGGTGCACTCCATGTTGCAAGGTAATACTCTTCCACTCGAGTCTTGGAAATATGGTCATGAGATAGGTATTTATACATCTTCTAAGTAGAGAACTTGCCTCCCCTCTGTACTTTTGCAAACTCAGCCATCAAAGCACTCTAACTAGTTTGTCCTTGTAACAATACATCTCCATACCCCAATATATTCCTCACTATCCAAGATGATGCAGATTTAGGTATGAGGACAGTTTCAATCTCCCTTCTTTTGATAAAATAACTGTGTACCCATAAGATCCATACACAGTCCTTTCTCGCTACATTCTGCAATTTCTAATTAAGTATTGCTACCTTGTTCCATAGCTTTATTTAGTTCTATGATATTGAATAACCTGCAACATGTGGTTTGCACATTGTTTCCCATGACACCAATGCTCTTCTGGACATTGTTATTGTCTGTGTCCATAAGAAGGTCGTGCAGGTTTGTTCTATATCTTTGATCACTTTCTTGGGTAGAAGAAAGACATGTGCCCAGTAAGCAGGGACTCCAAAAATTATTGATTTAATCAGCTGAAATTTACCTGCATAGGATGATAATTGGTAATTATGATTTATTGATCACCAAAGTGGATATTTACAAATCTAATTAGCCCGTACTACCTATATAAAAAAACCAGGGGTTATTACCTGCTTACATAACTCAAAAAATTAAAAGTTACATCTATCTAATAAAATCTGGTTGTGCAGTAGCTCTAACACAACAAACACAAGCAACTCTACATGTTATATCTTCCATTGTAGCCTCATTCTTCTCAAAACCTTTAGTATTCTTGTCCTTCAAATTAAAATGAATTATGTGTAGTCTAGTTCAATAGTTGAGCCTGGTGGCTTTCTTTAAATGCTAAGACACTGTTGGGACCTCTTTTTAGCAATATAGGTGATGTATGGAACATACATTGTACATTTGCTTCTAAAAAATGAGAGAGATAATTGATGTTCATATGATATAATTTCTTTATAAAACAACTTGTAACAAGTCAAACATGTTGGCTCTTGTATAAAAATGATATATTTCACTTGGACTAAATGATAGCAATTTGGAAAAAGACTTAGAATGTTTTTTATGTTGCTTTTAAGCCATATAATATTTTCTAACCAAAAAAACTTAGTAACAATTATTGAAACAAGTTGTCATATAACATAAAATAGAAAAAAGATCAACTGATCAAGCTTGCTAAACGAGAGAATGAATAGTATCTCATGTATTTCTTTCTTACTATACATGAAGCTTGTCTAGTGTTAATTAGTATCCCATGCATTTCTCCTTTTGATTGAGTTTTTTTATAGCTTTCTTTGGGTATATATAATAATGTGTTTAAAGATTTGGGTTCTTTGGTGATTAAATGATTGATTTATGCTTTAAAAGTTATAAGTTATAGCTCTCCGGCATTCTGTTATGAATTGACCTCAAATTGTTTTTCTTAAAAAATGAAGAATGTGATATAGATTAAAGAACGTGTTGTTGAAGAATTATGGAGCCAACTGAAAAGAAAGATTATATTTTTATTGTTGGTGCAGATCTAGAGACGTTTTAAACTATGCAGCTATTTGATTTTCTCAATTTTTAGGATTCGATAGATGTCAAACATATATGTTTTATTATATTATGTCGAACATCTATGTTATTTAGATCTTATGTTGAACATGTATGATTTTTAGATATTGTGTTGAACACACATATTGATATGTAAGTTTTCCAGTATGTTTTCGTTCATGGCAAAACAATTATGAAATGTTATATTAAATTTTTTATGGCTTGTGAAAAAAAAGAAATGATAGTAAGATCAGGAACTGCTTGAGGAACATGAAAACTATATATAATTATTTGAAACTAAATTTGTGAAACAAACTTGGTCGTTAAATTTATTAAAATCAACGGTAAAAGTAATGTAATCAATGAAAGAATCTGACCACTAAAAGTATTTGTAACGACTGGAAATTGTGGTTGTACTTCAACGTTTTAACGACCAAATGACCATCAACGAAGGGAATTTGTGGTTATTGTTAGTACATGTAGCGACCGGATTTATCGTTGTCGCTAAGTGATATCTAACGACCGGCTATGCAATCTGGCCATTAAACTTTAACGACGAATCTTTTAACGACCGGTGACGACCAATTTTTGCCCGGTCGTATAGACCTTTAACGACTAGATATGGACTTTTAACGATTAGATTTCCTTTCGTTAAAAGTCATTTTTCTTGTAGTGACTCTGATAAGCCTTTTAGTAGGGGACATTTGTAGAGATCGAAATTTCATACTGTAAAAGACAAGTCCAATTTTGTTAGAATTTATGGACACTACTAGATCTACTATAAACCCTATTTCATGCTTATATAAAAGGTAATGTATCCTGTGAAAAGGCATCTTAAAATTACTCAATTTTGAAGTGGATTTGGCTTTTTTGAGATATTTTAAGATACCTTTTCACTGGATACATTACCTTTTATATAACCATGAACTAGGGTTTATAGTAGATCTAGTAGCCTCCAAAAATTCTAACAAAATTGGACTTATCTTTTAGAGTACGAAATTTTGATCTCTACAAATGTCCCCTACTTAAAGGCTTATCAGAGTGTAGACTTGATGAAACTCAATGACAAGACTTGAAGTACACATAAAAGTGAACCTTGCATCTTTGCGATTTTGTGGCTATTTGTGAGAGAAGGGATGATGGACAAATTTGGTCCCACGAAATGTGTCAATTTGTTTGCAACAAATTTTGAAGGGCTAGAAAATAAATTGCAATCATATATGAAATACGAAGAAACATAATTTTTCTAATAAGTATTGTGGGTACAAATATGTTTCTCCCTTGATTCTTCTCTCTGGTTTTTCTCCGTAGTT